ACCATAGTTGCTTACCGAAATAATGGATATCGCGCCACTACCCTCTTTGAATGATGAATTTAATGTAAGTACAACATTTTTGTACCTTGTTTCTCTAAGACGAAAATTAAGCCTTTCAAGTAAAAGTTCATATTTGTTTTCTTTTGTATAACTACTAATTAAATATTTTTGCTGAGAAAATTGGTACCTACATGTATGTTCATAAACATAAAGTACAAACAAACTGCTAGGATTTTTGTGTAATTAAATCTTTATTTTTCAGTCAGTTTTTCCACCTGGTTGGGGAACAACAATTATTGGTAAAAAAATAGTAGAGGGTGAAGATAAGTTCCCGAATGTAGAATTGCATTTTTTCATCAATTGCACCAATGAAGAGGAGTTTGGAAAGTGGTTGATGGAGTTTGAAAATTCAACAAGTTCATCATACGTTATCGCCTGTACAGACGTTGAGAATGGAGCTAAATTGAAACTGAAAAGAAGACTAAGGTAATAAAGGTTTTATTATTAATAAAACCTTTGGAAAACACAGATTTTACAGGTTACAAAAATTAGGTAGTAAATTAATGTAATAAATATCACATTTGTTTATGCTCTTATTTATAATGTAGGTTATATTATTTGTTACATGTAGGTTTATTACAGTTTATTATTATGTTACCTGGAAAATTTAATTTTAGGTGTCATCATTCTACACGGTGCACTAAAACCTACAACCCGTCCTTAAAAAACAAAACTAGAAACACCAATTATCCTTCGAAAATAACTGTAAAGATACATGTTATTAGAAAAAAGTATAGGGGCAAGAAAGAAAATTTCCAACTCTTACAAGAGGCGCCTTGTGAGGTTAAACTTATTTTAACACACAACCATATGACCAATACTGCAGATTCTTTACGGTTTCGTAAAGTTTCTAAGAATGTAAGAGAAGAGTTACTAAGTCTTTATAAGAATGGCCATACAGCAGGAACAGCTTTGGAGATGATTAAATGTAACATTCAGCTTACCAGGGATGATTATGTGACAGCTTTGGCAGACCGTAATATATGTCCAACCTATAAATACTGTTATGATCTATATATGAAAGAGTTTAAAGAAAATTATGGACCTATGAAATTTGATACAGAGGCGAAAATGTTTTTAGAAAATAATCTTACACTGTACAATGCTGAAAAAAGAGAAACAATAACAAACATTCTAGAAATGTTTATGGTATGTTATAAACTTAATTAAATGGGTTTGGTTCGGTTTTGGTATTTTATTTGGTGGTTATAATATGTATTTTTTTATTTATCGTTTGTATGTTTAGAAATAATTTAACTTGACAGCAGATATTGTTGAAATTGTATTAGTTCAATTTAATGAACTAGGTATACTATAATGTAAACCTTCCTATTTAGATTTGTAAAATACACCACTAATTAATTATTTTTTGTGTCCCAATTCAATTTATAAATTGGCAACACAAATAATTGAAATTAAATTTGTATAGATTTCTTTAAGGATGTGCACAACTTTATTTTCTAAAGCTTTTCTTAAATTATTTCATTGACTAGAATTATAATCATTTTTAGGAAGTGGCCAAAATCGAAGAGGACGAAAAATTCCTATACAAAGTACTGCTGTAGCTAGAAGAAAAATTAAGAAAAAATCATCAAGACAACTAAAACGATTACGTAATAATACATATGATACAAGTAGATGCGTAATGCCTACTAAATAAAAAATGTTATTAGTTAAATAAACTATTTTTTTAAATTAAACTGCTTATTTTTAAAATTCCTAATGAAATATTTAAATTTAAAAACCGTTTAGGTAATGTAGCTGTAGCATAAAAAGTAATTATCGTAACTGAGGAGTTGGCGGGAAAAAAACGATCAAATTCGGGGTGGATGGTGCCATCTAAAGATTTTTGTATATAATATATGCCTGGTAAACAGTTGCTGCAAAACGATTAAGATCTCTATAATACACCTAACAGTTATTTATGCAACTAGTGCGAAAAGCACTCTTTTCACACTGTTACATACAATATTTTTCGTAAAATAAATGATAGTAAAATTCTAAAACAAAAGTATTTTCCTTTACACCTTGTAGAAATACCGGCAGTTTTGTTGGAAATTTCCTGTCATAACCGCATCGAATTTTTGTTTTTAATTGTCTGAATTGTCAAGATGATCATTTGTTGGTAATTTTTAGGTGAATTTGTTCGTTGAAAGCTTATTAGAAAAATGCCTTTAAAAGTGTAGTAATTATTCATCTAATTTAGTTATGTCAAATATTAGTAATTGTGTAATTAATATTTATAATAAATTTTGTGTATTATTTGCGCTTCCTATGAGACAACGCTCGGAAGTAAAAAAAAAAACGATTTTCTCAGTTTCAGCATAGGCACACCTTCATCGTTTTCCTCGCTACCTCCCCAGTTACTTTCAAAACGAGCGCGCTTTTATGCCCCGCCTATAATTTGGCGTTCGCGCGCTGTTATTGGCTCTTCCACGTCTCATAGCGGAACTGTGGGCTCGATGTAGTATTGCACATGCGATAGCACAAAGTGGGATCTGTCCACCATTTTGCTATGCTCTATTTGTCAATTTTATAGGTTATATTACTAGTTTTTTTTATAAGTACATTTAATTTGTGTTTGAACGATTTTTGATTGTTAAAAACTTATAAAGCACTTAGTGCCTGAAGGTCTCTTTATACTGATTTATTTTTATTATTTGTATTAGTATTATGATTAAGCATTAAGCTGTACAACACATAAAAACAGTATTTTTTATAGTTTAGTATTCCTGGAATAACGTTTTATAAAATATGCTAAATTAGTGATGACGCATTTTGGTTCCACTGATAATTGTGTCCATTATTTATTTTTTTGAGTTCGTTTTGTTTACCTATGTTTTAACTTTTATAAATATGTTTCTAAAGTAAATAGATAACATGCATCAAATATAGCTATTAGGTATTAGCTATTTATGTAACCAGTTATGAAATGCCTTGTTATGTAATGAGTAAATCTTTTATATCTTACATACAATATTTTTTATAATTATGACAAGATTATTTGTAAAATTGTGTTTGCTAAAATATTACAAACATCTATGCAACCAATATTACTTTCGTGCATTATTAGTTGCATAATTTCATTCATTTAATTTACATATTTATTTAGAAAAATAGAAAATTATAATTTATTCTCAACCTCTTGTTGCAGGGTGTTAGCTTGTTAAAGTTATTTAATTTTCAAGAAAATGCGTTATTTAGAATGGAAAATAAGGGCCGGAACGTAATTATTACTAGGTTGTAAATTCACTAACAAAATTTATTTTTATATGACCAACTTTCCTTCCGTTGATATAAACTTTCAATAAAAATGTATATATTGATTTTAAAACCAAAAAAGATTTATTTTTATTTGTTTTCTATTCTCAAATGGTGACAATGAATTTTTCATAATCAGTTACATAATGTTCAACTTTATGCAACTAGTTTCATAAAGTATATATATTTTCGACACTTGCTGCGACTACAAAAAATGTTACTTTATATGTCAAAATTAGAAAAAAATCATTTAATTACTAATTCTCTTCACGATAAAGGCTGAGTTCGGTTTGGCGTTCGCTGTACTCAGAGTGCACTCGGTATGCCTCGATTGTGGTCGCTTTGGCACTCAGAGCGTACTCTTTTGTGTTCGGCTTGCCACAGATCACGTACTCAGAGCGCGCTCACTCTTCCCCGAGTTGGCTGATGGAGATCAGCGAGTATCTGTAGGAATGTGTCAAAAATGTCAAATGTCAATCTTCTGATCGGTGATTAATCAGTTTTACACGTAATATTTCTTGTTTGTTTCTGTTATAACTATTTTCTATTTGATTAAAATTATTTTTTTACAGTCCATAGACACACACAAAAGTGTATTCAAGTGCAAACTATCACTAGTGTCATATGTCATTCCCCTTGTGTTCGTCTTGAGATTCTAAAGAGTGAACTCTGTCTATGACGTCACGCACTCCGTGAGCGCTCTGTGCGATCCGTCAAGTTCCAAACCGAACTTACCCAAAATTAACAAAACAACTATTTCCTTTTACATTTTTGAATATTTTACGTATATGTCAAATTCAATGACATACATTGCGTTCGGTCTGCCAAGTTCTTTTAACTCCTTTAACACTTTTAACTCCAAACGACCCTTTTAGCGTTCGGTTTAATCCGATTAGTGACAGTTTAACACGCTTAAATGTCATTTAAAAGCACCCTAAAATGTGTCCCGCTCCAGCCCCTGACTATCCGAACTTGCCTATAATTGTTTGTTTTTGTTAAAAGTTAATTGTCAGTGGACCCAAAATTACGTCACACTAATATGGCGTAAAGTTTAAACTATATTAATATTGTACAGGACAGTATTATGCGGCAAATCTGAAAGGATGTACCTAAACGAAGTAAACATTGCTTTGCTCTAATTTTTTATAGGACCACACACAAAGGCATTCGAAGAATCGGGTGAGATTTGGAGAGAAAATTACCAAAGAATGAGTGAAATGCAAAAACAATATCTTCTATGTAATACTTAATAAATAATTTTTTCTCCGGGTCATCATCGGCCCAATGTTGGCCACCCCAATAAAACATAACTTTGCTTTTTGTAAAAAGTTAAAGGTTCATTTTTAAAAGACTATTTTCAAGAATTCCTTTTAGATATTGACAGAAGGGGTTAGTGAATAGGAAAATATTTTGAAATATCAGTATTATAATATATTTTATATTTGCTGATTAGATCATAGTTTGCCTATCTGCCAAGTAAATCTAGGAGTAACTTTACCCAGAGGTGAAAAAATCGATTTTTATTCAAACACGCTTATAACTTTTTGTTAATAAAATAATTAGTAGTTAAAAATATCTGTTGTCACAATTTTGAATATCCAAAATAATTATAAAAAAAATGATCCTTATGTTGTCACTGCTCATCTCTAAATTTCATTGGGAACTCTAGAGTAGTTATACCTGAACTTCGATTTTCATTAAAGGATGCGCTCAGACAAGTGCGGTTTATAAATATGGATCTCAAAGACTTGCAAAATATCATAATGCCTTGATTTATTTATCGATTAACTAAAATAAAATCTTTAAACTTAACAATCACAATTATTTTCGATTAATACTTCGTTCGCAAATTATAATTTATGAGGAAAACTGGATTTTCCCATAACGCTTTCGAAATGTCGTCTACCATCAATGTACATCATGGCTTCGTGGTAAGTCTGCGGAATGACCTCGTTGACGAGTTCCGGTACTTGGAACGTAAAATGCAAAGTGTTCGTAGTGTCGTTTTCCCCTGTTATAGAATTGTAAACTTCGACGTGAACAATTATTTGCATGAAATTCAACTGAGTATAAACGACACTGGCGTGCATTCGTATTAAAGAACTGACAGCGATCGGTTTCTGAAAACTGATATCGCTGATACTTTTCAGCACCGGTCTGTATTTACTGTAAGTGAATCCCAAAACCCACGCGAGTTCTTCGGCCATGCGCATAATGAAACCTCCGAATACCGCGTTGTGCATATTACGTTCTTCGGGGTGCGAAAAAACGACATTTGACATGGTGGCGTTGGTCATCCAAACGCAGCCGGTAGGAAGGACCTTCCTGAGGCTGCTATCTTTGTCTGTAGTACGGATATATAAATTATGAATGAGTTGTTGCTCTTCGGCGTCCGGAATCAACTAGAAAAATCAAATAATAGTAGAAATTAAAAAACGTGGTAATAATCCGCTAGTTTCGCTAATATAATTACGAAAACAGTGTCGCTAATGATTTTACCCGATTTTACCCAACTTATAAACTGTCATAAATTGACGCTTACAGTTTATGCATCAAAGAATGCAGTAAAGTTTTAAAACATTTTCAATACTTCATTGCATTTTATTGGTGATTTCGGGTAAAATCAGGTTTTTTTAAAGTTTGACTCTGGTAACACTGAAAAAACCCATTATAGGTATTCAAAACAAATATATGAATAAAATCAATACAATACTGTTATAGTTATATGAGTTTGATGGTGATCATAATCCTTAAAAATTACCTTAGATACATGCATCTGGTGCAGCAACATCCGCCTCTTTTTTCTAGTTTCTCCTCCCGATAAAATTTCCCTTTCTCTATCGTCAGCCGGTTCGAGAGGATTAACAATTCCTGCTTGTTTATTGTTCGAATCTCTGGCTGCCATTAAGAATAAAGCTCTAGTAATTCGATGCCAAGTACCGTGCATTAATTGCTCTAACCAAACGACTACTTCTAGAGAAGATTTGCCCACCCAGCTTACGTGACCGGAAATTTTTATATCTTGTTCTGTCTAAGAGAAAATCATATATCAATATTATAAACAAATTACACAAAAAAAAATACAACAATAAAATATACTGATGTTCAATAGCCAATATAAGGATTTGTTAGACACTTACCTTAGGCAAAAATTCGGTGAAATCTATTTTGTCTACATGAGCTGTTACTAATGTATATGGAAACGTTTCGTTCTTAGGTTGGTTTGGATTATATATATGCTTGTGTACCACCATTACTAAAACAAAAAGCAGATTAATAGGCTAATTCACAAAGCATGAATACATTGCATTTTAAAAATCACTGCAACAATTTAAAGTGTTATTAAAGTCCAACTCTACATTTTCGCTAAATTATATGTTTCTATTCAGGGTAGCCAACCCCATGAATTTTCATTGCAATCTACGAATATATATGAATTTAATCATATATTGTATGGAGTCTCTGCATTTTTGTAACTCATAAAACTTTATTAATACATACTAAACTACAATATACATATTATTTTATTTTTGATAGAGGTCAAATAGTAAGCAGTTGTGTTTAATCTGAGAGTCCGAGTTAACTCCTTGCCTCTTTGGCATTATTTAACTATTATGTTTATTAGATTTAATAAAAAATGTGATTGATCTTATTGTACTGCTTTGTTGAATTTATTTATTGTTATTGTCTCTGGAAAAGTGAATGAAAAAGCAGAGTTGTCCTTGTTCTCTTGCTGGACAGATACCAAGTTTTGCTGTATGTACTCTCTATGTTAGTTGTACACTTGCTGAACAAGATCAAATGCTGTGCGTAAGGTCACCTTACACAAAAGGAATCAACAACATCTAGAAACAGTAACAGAAAAAACTAGTGTACCTAATAAATTATCTTAAATATGAATTATAGTATTATTATGGAGAGAACGTTTTATTTGTATTGGTGTTAAAAAGGTGAATATTGAATATATTCAAGCATTGTAATATTTTGTCATTCAAGGTGAGAAGACGTGTTCGTTTCACTGCGCAAATAAATCTATATTTCTACCGATATAAACTATATAATGTTAAAAAAACTAGTGAATTAAATAAAATATGATAGTACTATAGTGTAGTAAATAAACTGTTTAGGTGAGTCACAGTTGCATAGATTAATGCATTATCTCTGCAATTTCACCATAAAATCTACCAAGGAAACAAAAAAACGCAAAAAAGTACCAAACCTTATCAGATGACAAAAAAGTTTAGGTGAAATAAAATAAACACCAATACTTTCTACTAAGCAATCATACAAATAGAATATCCAGTGGCGTACCCACATTTAGTTTATAAAATAAGAGAATGATTTAATAAGAAAAATGGCAATGAAATGCTCACAGTGTGAGATTATTCATCAGCCTACAAAAGAACAAAAATATCCATGCTCTACATGTGATGGATGCAGAAGATTATACTGCAACCAATGTGTCCATAGGGGACATTAATATTGATCTCCTAAATGTAACCAATCAAGTAACTACTGATTACCAAGCAACTTTTTACTCCCATGGTTTCATGTCTTAGATAAACACTATTACGAGGCCACAAAGTAAAACATGCTTGGATCATATATTCTTAAAAAAAAAACAATATTAAGACCGAAAATCTATCGGTGAACTCTTATGTAATTAGTTATGATATGACTGATCATGATCCTATTATGATAAATTCTCACAATCTGCCAAAAACTACACAAGTTCTTACAATACATATAAAACTATAACTAAAATCGATACTGATAAATTAAAACAAAAATTCGAAACTGGGAAAGTGTTTACAATGAAAATAATCCAGAAATTGCAACAGAACTTTTTTATGACACGTATCTTAATATCATTGAAACATGTCAAACCACTCAAAATATTAAAATTAAAATCCATAAAAAATAAAGCCATGGATAACAAATGGTTTAATTAATTCTATTAAAACTAGAGATAAACTTAAAAAAGATCTACAAAAAAACTATAGTATTAACAAACAAACTCACTATAAAACATTTAGAAATAATTTAAACAAACTAATATCAAAAACTAAAAATAACTATTATAACAATAAAATAAACCAAAACAAAAATTATCTGAAAAAAACATCAATTAATCTCTGAAGCAACTAATGAAAATCATAAAAAAAATAATACCAATTTACAGATTGTTAACCAACATAATGAGGAATTTGAAAATGATAATGAAATGGCGAATTACTGCAATAACTACTTTTCGACTATTGGCACTAATATGTTTACAAATATCCCTGAATGTAATGTGGATTTTCCTGTGTCACTGAAAAATCAATGTTTCTGAAACCAATATGCAAAAACGATATTATAAAACACAAATAGTTTAAAAAACAATAGTGCCCAAGGATTTGATTGTATAACAGTAAAACATCTGAAACTACTACATCCGTATTTACTGGAATCTTTAATGCATATCATTAATTGTATTTTTAATACAGGAATCGTACCTAAACAATTTAAAACTTCAATTATAACACCTATTTATAAAGCGGTAATCCTAAATTAATAACTTACTCATTGCGTTCGGTTTGCCACGTTCCTTTAACTCCTTTAACACTTTTAACTCCAAACGACTCTTTTAGCGTTCGGTTTAGTCCGATTAGTGACAGTTTTACACGCTTAAATGTCATTTAAAAGCACCCTAAAATTTGTCCCGCTCCAGCCCCTGACTGACCGAACTCGCCTACTATAGACCTATTAGTTTAATTAGTAATGTGGATAAAATATTTGAAAAATGTGTGAAAGATAGACTGACAGATTTTTTAAAAACTAATGACTTACTTCCCAAGCACCAATATGGCTTTACTGAGGCTCTTAATTCAGGAGATGCTATGCATGAATTGATTTCATATGTTACTGAAGAAATGAATACTGGTAACATAGCTATATTTCTAGATCTAGCAGAAGCATTTGACATGGTGCCACATCAGAAGCTCTTAAATGTTCTTGAACAGAATGGAGTGAGGGGCATCGTGTTGAAGGTTTTTGAAAATTATTTGACACACAGACAATAGAAGGTAAAGGTCAGAGGCAATGTGAGTAACCCTGAAAATATACAAATCGGAGTGCCTCAAGGAACTGTTCTGGGACCTATACTATTTAATTTATACATTAAGAGCTTAACTCAGATTGATATTCAAGGTAAAGTTGTATCATATGCTGATGATACAGTGCTAGTCTTCAGTGATAAATATTGGGAAGCCATCAAGACATGTGCTATAAGTGGAATGGACCATGTCAAAAACTGGCTGGATGTTTTTAAATTGTCTTTGAATGTTAACAAAACAAACTACATTGCTTTTTCAAAGACAGTGGCTGATCGACTTCAATTTAGAAGCTTAACATGTCAAAATTTAGACATACAGGAAACAGAAACATCCAAATATTTAGGTATAATTATAGACCAGCATTTAAAATGGGACTGCCATATAATATATATAGCAAAAAACTTAGATTTCTGATTTATAAATTTTATCTTTTTAAACAATTTCTCAACCAGGATCTACTAATAACATTATACTACAGTCTAGTAGAATCTATACTACGGTATGGAATCTTAGTATGGAACTACATTAAATTATTTAAATGTTATTCAAAACAAAATCTTGAAGTTAATATATAAAAGAGATAGATTGTGTCCCACCATAACTTTATATAATGAAAAAATTAGCCACGTTAGATGTTTATATATTCACGCAGTGTGTTATATACAAAAAATGAATTTTTAAAAAACACTTTAGAACATAGACATAACACTAGAACTGCATCGAACATGTGCATTAAAGTACCAAAACCAAATAGTGAGTTTTTTTAAAAACTGTAAATTATCTAGGGACAAAGTTTTATAACGCTCTACCTCTTCATATAAAATTATTAAACAAATATAAAAAATTCTGTAAAGTTAGCAAAATATACATTTTCCAAAATAATATTCCAAGATTAACGGGCTTAATACATGGATTTTTTTAAATAGTTTTTTTGTTTCTTGCATAAATTGTTCGTTTTTTTTATTAAAAAATTTTTTTTTTATTTCCTTCATAATTCATTAAATGTAATTAAAATAAAATTTTAATTTTTGTCATCACATACAGGTGTTCTCACTTAGGTGCTTGTTATTATATAATTGGTTTCCATTATTGTACTTTATTGTAACTTATTTATTATTGTAACTCATTGTAACTTATAACTACAAAATAAATACAAATTGTTGTTGTACCTTTTTTTTAAGTTTTTTTTAAGTTTTTTTTTTTACAATAAAATACTTTTGTTAACAACAAAGCTACAAAGCCTTAGTATAATCTAAACAATGTTTGATTATTGTTTACATTATTTTGAAAAATGAAATCTGTTGATAATGAGGTTGATAACTACTAGTAAACAATCAAAAATGCATTATCTCTATCAGTAGCATTAGTAAGTACATAAATTGTATAAGAAAACATTCATAATTTACATCATTTAATTGCTGACAGTGGTAGTATACTCTTTGGTGGTAGTGTAAGGGAGTATTGTTTGAATTACCTTACCAGCAAAAATATCCATATCTTCCAATAGTCTTCCAATTCTAACTTGTCCTAAAAATGTTGTGTATTTATCTTGTAAACCTTTGTCTTTGGAAAGTGGTATGATTCCAACTAAAAAGCTATCTCTCATGGCGCGTTTCGGTAACTCAGCCTGGGTTTTTGGTAAATATTTCAACAAGTGAGAACGGTCTTTGCGAAATGGATCATAACCTTTATCAACTCCCATATCCTTGCTTATAGCAAGTTTTACTGAAAATTATTTTGGTTGAAACAAGTTTTGTAGGTTGTAAGTTAACAAAGAAAAACTTACATTCAGGAACGGTGGGAATGTTTTCCTGTGCATCGGAGGTTGCACTTGAAGTAAAAGGTGCAACCATATCAGTTTCTGTAGAAAACATCCTTTGTTGTAAATAGGAACTGGCTCTAAAATGATTTAGATAGTATTTCCAACATTCAGTTTAAACACCAATTATAATATGAATACGAATACAAATGAGTTGAGTTTCAAAGGTCAATATAAAACAAAAATAAGAATTAACATCATTGATAAGAGCTCACCGTTTGAATGGATATTGATATTGATAACCAGAGCGTAAAGTTCGTAAAATTGTTTTAATTGCCATTTTTTACAAATGATTCAAAAAACTAAAGTAGACTAAAAGATTTCAGTTTTCCTGTCAACGATTAAAAATTTATCATTTTCGTAGAATATCAAGGTTAATTCATGACAAATTCGTAATCCTATTTTTGGTTTGCGTCGACCATGAACTTTGGACTTTAAAATTTTCGTACATTTTATGATTTTAACATAGAAAATTGATTTTTGGGCTTTTGGGTGAGGTTAGGAATATCAATTTTTTTTTTGAATTTTTTGGAAGTTATTTGATTAATTCTAGATTTCTTCCTAGTGCGAGCACCGAACATGCAACATTGCCAAATGCGTAATAATATACTGTACTATGAAGGTCGATGCCCATAATTCCAGCACACAGGGGAATACTCAGAATGAAAATGATATATGAAATAATTTGGTGATTTTTAACACTGAACTCCCCACCAGGGGGTTTTAAATAATGGTAAATGCAGAATTGAGAATATACCAAAACAAATTATAAGTTTAGCTCTTCAGATTTTTGATGCAATTTGGCAATGCTTTATAAATTCGTGTCTTATCGTTTACAATCGTCAGATTAACATCTAATTTAATGTAGATTTCTCTATATTTCAAACGTACATTTTAGTAAATAATTGGTAGATGGCAAAAGCAGTGAAAAATAGATTTTTCTAACATTTATAATATTTAAATAAGTGGAAATGCATATAACGGTAAATGGCACAAGTAGTAAATGTAGATTTCTAATAAAGTAGTAAAATCTTATGTGAAACCAGCAGTGTGATTCTAATCTTTCAATACGACACGTGTTGAGAAGCCTCTATCTTCGTTCGACCAAAGTATATTTGGTTCGACAGCATGTGATTATTATGTAATGTCTCTCTCTATTCAACACGTAACGTGTTGAGTTCGCACATAAGAATCCTGGACAGGGATTCCTATTCCTATGTGCGTTGTCAACACGTAACGAATTGAATAGAGAGAGACAGTACGTATGAATCGCATTATGTGGAACGAAGATAGTCATCTCAACACGTGCCGAATTGAAAGATGAGAATCCCAATACAGATTTCTAAAAAAATATAAACAATTGAAATGTACATTTTAAAAATATTTGGTAGATGGCGCAAGGAGTATTAGGAAATGTCAAATTCAAAAATGTCAAGAATGTCACTGTCATATTTCCAATTTCAATTTCCACATTTATTTATTATTCATCTTCGCGTTTTGAAGTTGGATGGAAGAGCGAAATGTTTTTGTGTAAAAAAAATTAAAACATGCGGTAATAACGATTATGTGACTTTTGTGCGGAAATTGATAAACAAGTTGGTGAGCTGCTGGAAATTTTTATACAGCTTTAAAAAGTACCAATCTAGTTCTTAGAATTAATTTAAGAATATCCTCGTACAGGTTAGTACCTTATTTTACCATAATTATTTTTTATAAGCGGCTATTTAAATTCACGGGTAATAACTTTATTTGCATAATTAACATTTTAATGATGCCTATTTTTGTGCTTTTTTTGTTGCAAAAATTAGAGAGAATTTAAATGATATCATCTCTAAATAATCTAAATGTCACAAAACTTTATTTTACAGTTAAAATAAAAGGCAAAAAACAATTATAAGACCTAGGTTTTATTTGGTTGATAAAAAACAGGATACGAGACCGTTATAATCATTATTCTAAAGAGAATATGTGATACCAAAATAAAAAATAACACTTGAATCAGTTTGCGCTATGAACTTTTGAAGTTGTTTAACATAGTACTCTAACCTAGCTCTTATTATAATTTGTCTACATTTATATTGTATTTATCTTTCAAAATTCAATAGAGAAATATTTAAAGATATTCTTTGTACAATGAAAATAAAACGAAGAGGAGACTTTCGAAAAACCGATACTTAACACGTTAAGTGCCGCGGCGATTTTCGTGAATCTAGCGGCCGTTCAATTAGTAATGATGCCTTGATTATTGCAATATCACACTGTGTACCTAATCAATAAGCAAACTCAGAGTTGGCAGGTACAGTTTTTTTGCACCTAGATTTTTTAGGTTTTTTAAAATAATTATTAAGAATTCACAATTTTATTAATCAATTCTCAGTAAAAGAGTGCCAAAATTAGTGTATATAAAAGCAAATGCAAATATTTTATCAAACGTTATACCACTGGAACTTCTTGATATTAGTGATGGGATAATTCGATTGAAAAATAATCATATAGGTATTCAATAACACTATCAAGTGAAACTGATTTCGAATGACAATTCAAGTACATATGAGTACATACACTTGTTAGCGCGCCACTGTGCATATATGGCACTAGATAATATAGACGTATTCCGTTTGACATGTCCAAGCAGTTATTCTTATTCGGGCGAAGAGTAACTATGTGCCTTGTCTTGATACGGTATAATATTTAAAATCTAAAATCAGAAAGTGGGATACAAAGAATCCATTATTTAAAATCGACGTCTAAAAATTTATTATACTGCTCGAGCCGTCGCGACTAAAAATTGTTTATAATATCATGAAGATAAAAGTTGACCGTCAAAGAAAAATGGCAGAGTTGTGTTTTTAAAGATGGGACTATTTGATTTCACGTTATAAGAATATTTCAGCGTCTTTTATTTATTTTTATTATTTATTTATTTTTGTTTGATTTGATGCCGCTTTCAAACATGAATTAAGTCATTGTCATTTTTTTATATCGGTTGTCGATTAGGTAGTCTAAAAAATATTTTCGCTCAAACACTTACTTTTTTTGTGAACAGTGGTGTTTTTGTGCAGTTAAAAATATAGAGTTTGCTTTCCTTTTTTTTTTTTTTTTTGAAGTGAAGTTTACGTTAAAACGAAAACTGTGCGTATAATATTGAACAAAATGACTGATGAACATCATATTACTCAACCAGTTTCTGTCGAAAATACATTAACGACTTTGCTACGGGATTTCCTAAATCGTTCAGTGCCTCATGAAAGACTTAACTTGCCAAAGTTTGAGCCGCGGCGAGATGATCCTGAACAATGGGTTAACGAAATATCGGAGATGGCGTCTGAACTTGGATGGAGTGACAGCACTATTATGGCTCAAATAGGAGGTTGTTTTGAAGGGGAGGCAGGTGAATGGTTTAACGTTTGGAGTCCGATTGACCGCCGCTCATGGGCAAATTTAAAAATCGATTTATGTGAGAGCTTCGCAGGTACAGTTAATTTTGGAAAATTGATGTATGACGCAATTTCTTTTTCTTCTGAGGGCTGTCCAACGTTTGGTCAATATGCCCGTTTAAAACTTCAAAAAATTAATGCCCTAAAATTACCTTTCACTCAAAGTCAAATCGTTAGCATGATTTGCTTTACCATAAAGGATGTAAGTCTTCAAGCTCAGATGACACAAGTTGGTCATTCATCTGTGACTAATCTTATTTCTCATTTATGCCGAATTCAAACTAAACCATCAGTTAGCAATAAAATTAGTTCCTTTGTGCCTATAGTTTCAAATAATGCACCGAACAAAAGTTTAAATCAAGTAAAAAATTCTTCTTTAAAATGTTATAGCTGTGGTCTTTTAGGACATCCAAGATTTTTATGCCCCCAAAAAAGTACTCAAGGCAAAGGTCTTAAACGTGAAAGAGATGATTTTAAACCCAACACTAGTAATACTTGTGATTTTTGTCAAAAACCCGGACATGTAATTGATAATTGTTTTGCTAGAAAAAAGCAAAAAGGTAATCATTATAAGAAGGTTAATTTGTGCTATTCTCCTACACCTATTTCGTCAGATTTAAATTTGTTTTCACTTAATATTGATGATCACGATTATGAAGTTTTAATCGACACTGGTGCTCAAGTGTCTTTATTGCGTCAATCTGCTGTTAAAAATATGTATTCTTTGCCAATTTACGAACATATGACTATTAAAGGCGTTGGTAACCGCACCTTTACGTCTAAGAGTGTAGTCAATGTTGAAATAAATCTTAAAAAAGAATTTAAATTTCCTCTTAAAATGCATATTGTTTCAAATGATTATATTCCTTGTGATGCAATAATTGGTTTGGATTTTATAAACATTCCTGGAATGTCTTTAAAATTTACTCAAAGTTCACCTATTTTGGAATATGTTCCTTCAAATCTCGTTGAAAAGCAATTGGAAGAGTTACTTCTAGAATTTAACGACATTTCTTCTTCTGGAAATAAGATACCCACTCCTATCACAACAGGGGAATTTAAAATTCGTCTCACATCTGATACAGAGATCAAATTTCGCCCTTATCGATTCTCAATGGTGGAAAGAGAGACTGTACGAAATCTTATCGACGATTTAATTAAAAACGAAATTATAAGGCCGTCTAATTCCCCTTACGCAAGCCCTGCCTTCCTTGTCAAGAAGAAAAATGGGGATTCTCGTTTGGTTTGTGATTTTCGTGCGCTCAATCGAATCACAGTAAAAGATCGGTATCCTCTTCCCCGAATTGATGATCAAATCGATCAGCTAAGTAATAAAAAAATATTTCACTACTCTTGACATGGCCGCTGGGTTCCATCAAATTAAAGTACATCCTGATTCAGTAGAAAAACTTGCTTTTGTTACTCCAGATGGCCAATTTGAATATTTACGAATGCCCTTTGGTTTGGCTAATGCCCCCTCTATTTTCCAGCGAGCAATCAACACTGCTCTACAGGCGAAATTCTAAAGGGTATTGCGTTGGTTTATATGGATGATATCCTTATTCCGTCAGAAACAAAGCAACAAGGTCTTGAACATTTACGGTTAGTTTTAACAACATTAAAGTCCCATGGTTTTTACATAAATATAAATAAATGCAAATTTCTTCAAGAACAAGTTGAATATTTGGGTCGTTTAATAGTAAACGGGATTGTTAAACCAAGTCCTTCTAAAACAGAGACCTTGAAATTGATGAAACATCCAAATAATGTCAGGGAGGTTCGTCAATTTTTGGGACTCGCTGGTTATTTCAGAAAATTCATACCACAATTTTCTGTTAAAACAAAAATACTATCAAATCTTTTAAAGAAAGATTCAACTTGGACTTGGACTAATGAACATTCAAAAGCTTTTGATGAAGTTGTTAAAATTCTTTCTGAAGAACCTGTGTTGGCAATTTTTAATCCAAATCTACCATTAGAACTCCATACTGATGCTAGTAGTCGTGGGTTTGGAGCTATTGTTTTTCAAAATCATGATGGTAAAAAAAAAGTAGTATCCTATTTCAGCAAAGCAGCCACAGATGTGGAATCTCGATATCATTCATACGAACTTGAAACTTTGGCGGTAGTAAATGCTTTAAAACATTTTAGACATTATTTTGTAGGTGTGCCTTTTACATTGGTCACTGATTGCAATGCTCTAAAAAATTCGCAACATAAACGTAACCTTGTGCCAAGGGTAAGTCGTTGGTGGATTTACCTTCAGGATTTTGAATTTACTATTTTACATAAATCTGGAGACCAGATGGCTTATGTTGATTATTTGAGTCGAAACCCACCAATTCCAAGTCAAGATACTTTTAAAAGCGTTTGTATTACCAAAATTTCTGAAATACCATTTGTCGAAGAAATAGACTCAAGTAGTCAAAACTTAATGCCGTCTGGGTGGTTATTTATTCAACAAAGTACAGATAGCGAAACAACCGAATTAAAGCAAAAATTACAAAATGGTGAAATAGATAAAAATCAGTTTTGTATTATTGGAAGTACCCTGTGTCATTTGAGTAATATTAACTCCGAAAAAGTTACTCAATATTTTGTTCCCAAAAATGCCAGGTATTCGTTAATTAAGGAATATCACGATGGGCAAGCTCATGTTGGTCTGGATAAAACCATTTTAAGTATAGCTTCACATTTTTGGTTTCCTCGAATGCGTCAATTTGTAAAAAAATATATTGACTCATGCCTCACCTGCCTTACCCGAAAGCGCCAGCCTCGTCGAGTTTTCAACGAAATTCACTCCATTCCGAAGATAGATATCCCTTTTCATACCATTCATGTCGATCTTCTTGGACCTTTGCCGAAAACTGAAGAAGGGTTCACTCATGTGTTTATAGCAGTCGATGCATACTCAAAATATACATTTTTATATGCTGTTAAGAGCTTGAAAACTGAAGATTTGGCCGATTGCGTACAGGATATTGTGTTTTTGGTTGGCACTCCAGCTCGTATTATCACAGACAATGCTTCTTCTTTAAAAGCCATTCAAAATAATCTCGAATGGGACATCGAGTGGCATTTCATTACGCCCTATGTACACCAATCCAATGGGCAAGTGGAACGTTACATGCGATTTGTTTCTAACTTGCTAAGAGTTCAGGCCGACTGTACCGTTCAATGGAGTTCGATGGTATCTAGAATTCAACTGGTAATCAATTCAACAGTTCACAAGACAACTAAGAG